CGGCCAGCTGTTTATCAGAACCCCTTGTGAAGAAGTCTTCTCGGGTGCGGCCAGCAATTTTAGAACAAAAGAGATTGCTCAGAGTTGTTTGTGAGCGATTTGGCTGCTTGTGACTTCCAATCTAAGCCCCTAACCCGCAACCCCAAACCCTAAAAAACTACTAGACCCTTAAGCCCCAGACTCAAAACCCTCAACCATAAACCTACACCCGTAACCCCCAACCCCAGACCTACCAAATGCGGACATCCGACTCCTATTCCTCAACCGCCCCTTCGTAACCTTTAGGCAACGAGAGTATTCAGGGATTACTGGCCAGGACCCTCCTTGTAGCCTTTAAAGCGGGTATATGGCATATAGAGGGTTTAGGGTTCAGGGTATATGGTAGTTTGCCCACATAAGGGGAACCCAGTATAAACCACAATATACTATAACCCTTATTTTGGGGACCCCCAAAATGGTACCGCTAATTTTAGGAGGACCCCCATTTAGAGCTAGGAAAAGGGATTATGGCATACAGGGACTATTTGAGCTAGTGTCTGAACTCCTTAAAGGGGATTATTTCCGCGATTATATAGGGGGGGAGTATTGAGCATTGTAGGGGATACTAGGAGTTTAGACCATGGCTCATTTGGGGATGTCAAAGGTCTTCCTCATAAGCCTAAATATAACCCTCTAGAATCCCCATTTCCCTCTATACTAACCCTAAGCCCCTAGACCCCTAAACCCTAAACCCCAATACGGTGGTGAGTGACTGGTGGTATGGGCCGACTCACAAGGACCGTGCTTTGAAGCATTTCCGTTGACCTTCTGGCGGCGGAGAAAAGGTCCGATAACCCTAAACCCTAAACCCTAAACCCCAGCCACAGCTAAGGAGAAAGCCGTGGCTGCGGATTCCCAAGCAGAGAAAGAGGAAGCCCCGGAGGAGCAGGAGCAGGACAGCTTTGATGGGTTTTTGGGTTTACGCGTTTAAGGACCTTAAGGGGGTTACATGGGGAATTATCCAACATATATAGGGGTCTAAGTTGGATTTAGGACTTTAGGGTTTTTGGGGTTTGGGGGTTTGGGTAGGGGGTTGAGGGTTTAGGGTTTATGGTTGGGAGTATAGGGACTGAAACAACTAGAATAGCTTTGGGGCATGTAATTGTAAGCGTTTGTTCACCCGCCTCGGCTGTCGTGTTGTCTCGCAGATCACATTTAGGAGTGGAAGGGCGCGAAGGGGGAGGTCCCCTAATGGGTCTAGGGTTTAGGTTCAGGTTTGTAGCGAGCAAACCATACATTTTCACTCTTCAGAGCAGGTAGAAGGTAGTCGATGCTACTGGAAAAGTCCAGCAGACTTAGTAAGTTGGTTTAAAACAGGCTAGACCTGGTTATTATGCTTTTAGCGGTTTTAGGAATACTTACTACGCCCCTTTGACCTTAAACCCTACACTTACAACCCTAGGCCCGAAATCCTAAACCCTAAACCCTGAACTACTTCTGGTAATTTCCCTGAAGAGGGGTACCCAAATATAGATCCCAAAACATTAGGATCCTTATTCTGGGAACCCCAAAAAAGGTACCCCTAACTTGG